TCGAAAGCCTATACCACGCAATGCAGTCTCATCCCTACCCTGGATATACTACAAATAGTTCATTCCTGTTTGCTGATTTAAATCTGGAGACCGTCAAAACTCGTATTAATTGCTGTCTCTCGACTGAAGTCCTCACTGGTGAGAACCTCGAAAACGCTATACGCCGTGTTTTGCGAATAGTTTGGTAACACAGGTAACGAACTAAGGGTTTTTTAGATTTTTTAGGTGAGTGTTAGGGGGTGCTGGATGTCGGAGTAAACGGATAGCCACCAAATATACCAATTATTTTATTTTTAATTATAAAATTTAGTTAAAATGTTATTAATATTATGGGATTAGTATTTAAAAACGTATAAAACATTTGGATTAATCTATGCAAGAAAGAGACCAGCTTACTGAGTTAGGAATTCTGGGAAATTAACTCGAATCCAAACCGGATGAAGTAAAAAGACACCAATATATGGAAGGGGTGCGTGAAAAGCCTTTTTTTTTTCATTGTCTGACGCTGATGGACGGATGTCAGTAAGAATGGTCCGACTCCTAGCTGTGTCGATATGATTTTCTTTCTTTTTTTTTTCTTTTTTTTTTTTTTTGCAATGTCGAGGTGTGTATTATGACGCTTTCAAGGAGGCGACCTGACTCATCCGTAGTCAGGTCGGGGTTACTGTTTGAGCCGATAAGATACAAAATCCGAAATCGGTGATGAAAACAGTGCATCACTGAGAACCACCCTTGATGCATCTAAAATGTATTATGCAAATAAATAATGCAAAGTAGTAAATATCAAAAATAAATTATATTTAATAAATAACAGAAAATACTTGTCAAATAAAGCACATTGTTGCTATCATTTTTTTGTTTTTAATACTTATTTAAATGTTGAATAAAAAAACGTGACAGACGATACATAATTAATAAGCATATAAACATTACAAAAGTAAACATTACAAAAGTAAACATTACAAAATAAGCAGTAAGATTCGAGACGCTTGACCGACAAATTTGAAAATACGTCGTCTTTTTGCAAACCATGTTAAAACGTAAATAATGTAACGAGGATTTTTTAAATCGCTATTGCATGATGATTCTTTCTCTTCTAATGTCATTCTCAACTTTTTCCGCATTTCGTTTTGCTTTTGTTCTTGAAATATTTTAAACAAAAGGCACTTTTTAACTCTGCTTGCGTTATTGCAATCGTCATAGCTGAATGCTGGCTTTCTTTACATAAAACTGACAACCTTTTCAATAGCTTTTTCAATTTCAGTCCAGGTTTCATCACAATCATGCACTTCGTCGCCATCTTGTTGCAGACGTATCTCGTTGTCATCCTTTCCTCTTATTCCCATCATCTTTTGCACCAATACAAGCCATTAGGGTGAAATAAGCATAAGCGATTATCCAAAGTAAATTTCCTGAAAAACAGAAATTTCAAATCAATTATATATCACCCAAAATAGTTCAAATATACATTTCAAAATCATGTCCAGATATGCGGGATTCTGGATATCAGGCACTCCAGATATGGGAGATTCTGGATATGAGAGATTTCGGATATGAGGGATTCTACTGTACTTATTTAAATGTCGAATAATAAAAACACGAATGACCATAATTAATAAGCAGTAAGAATAAACATAACAACAAAAAACATTACAAAATAAGCGGTAGAATTCAAGACACAGTAACTACTTATTTAAGAAGTTGCATACTGAGAAAGACAATATTCGGAAAATGAAAAATTAGACCTGTTCTGAACAGTAACATCGTCAAAAAACAAACACCAACTGATAGGTTTAGAGATAGAATGAAAACATTATAGAAATGGATTTTTTGCCAACAGTAAATGGAGGAATAATATAGATCGATGTTGGAAAGTTATAGACCGTGTGTCTGTAATACAATTCACTGTTCAAGAAAAAAAACATACGAATTTCAACAAACAGAATGGATCCAGATTGCCCAGCTAACAAAGCTAGGGAGTTTTACTTTGAAAAGACTGACTTCAAAAAAGTTCAAAGGTCATCCAAGAACCACCATAGTCACAACGCTAAACCGAGACATTCAAAGAAGAAATCAGAAAGATCCCATTTTTCCTTTGGAGAAGTTTACAATCAAGGAAGATGTGAAAGACATCCACAAACTCACAAAGGACAGAGAAGACTGGCAAAGTATTGTTGAATCAGTATACAATGTCATTAAAGATGAGAGAACATATTAATTCATGATCTTAAATCGAAACAATTTCGATGATGATGATAAGAATAAATATTTTGAAATAAATATTTCAAAATATATTGTAGGATTCGAGATGCTTGACCGACAAATTCGAAAATCCATGTTAAAATGTAAATAAATAGATAATAATTATCTCTATATGTGATACGAATGAACGAGTCTAGGAAATCAATATTCGAAATCATCTTTCTATCTAACTTGAAACCTCGAACACTGACACCAGGGAAGCGTGTATGGGGATAATATTTTGTCGATTTTTCTAACTATGCGCCTGCTTGGAAAAGCGGAGTTCGAAATTGTGGAGTTTTAACTAGATTGGAAAATCAATCTTTGGAATTTGTGACAAAGCTATGGTTTACAACCACGATATGGTTCCCGTCATTGTGATGATGCAATGAAAAAAGAATGTTAACTCTGGGAGACTAAAGCAAACAAAAAAATTTGCTTTCTAGAGAAATTTCTAGAAATTTGCTCATGAAGAGAGATAGGGAAGGACAAAACCACACCCCCACCCCTATACCTCTCCCACTTTATCTCCATTTCACCCTCCCTCTATTTCCCTGTGTCCTCTACCCCCACTCTCTTTCTATCTTTCACTCACTCAATCACTTTACTTTTCCCACTCTCTCTCTCTTTCTCTCTCTCTCTCTCTCTCTCTCTCTCTCTCTCTCGATATCTTTCATGTTCTCTCCTTCTCTTCGTCAGAACATATGCATTTTTTTTATTATTCGATTCTACATTGATTTATGTTTTAAAACATTTTTCAAAATCTCTGTCTGTCTGCCTCTCTCTCTTTCTTTCTTTCATTCTTTCTCTCTCTCTCTCTCTCTCTCTATCTCTCTCTCTCGTTCCTTCTGGATATCCATATACCTCCCCTACTTTATCTCCATTTCACCCCTCCCTCTATTTCCCTGTGTCCTTCTCCCCCCCACTCTCTTTCTATCTTTCCTCACTCAATCACTTTACTCTTCCCTTCTCTCTCTCTCTCTCACTCTCTCTCTCTCTCTCTCTCTCTCGATATCTTTCACGTTCTCTCCTTCTCTTCATCAGAACATATGCATTTTTTATTATACGATTCTACATTGATTTATGTTTTAAAACATTTTTCAAAATCTCTGTCTGTCTGCCTCTCTCTCTTTCTTTCTTTCATTCTTTCTCTCTCTCTCTCTCTCTCTCTCTCTCTCTCTCTCTTGTTCCTTCTGGATATCCATATACCTCCCCTACTTTATCTCCATTTCACCCTCCCTCTATTTCCCTGTGTCCTCTACCCCCACTCTCTTTCTATCTTTCACTCACTCAATCTCTTTACTCTTCCCACTCTCTCTCTCACTCTCTCTCTCTCTCTCTCACTCTCTCTCTCTCGATATCTTTCACGTTCTCTCCTTCTCTTCGTCAGAACATATGCATTTTTTTATTATTCGATTCTACATTGATTGATGTTTTAAAACATTTTTCAAAATCTCTATCTTTCTGCCTCTCTCTCTTTCTTTCTTTCTATCTCTCTCTCTCTCTCTCTCTCTCTCTATCTCTCTCTCTCTCTCTCTCGTTCCTTCTGGATATCCATATACCTCCCCTACTTTATCTCCATTTCACCTTCCCTCTATTTCCCTGTGTCCTTTACCCCCACTCTCTTTCTATCTTTCACTCGCTCAATCACTTTACTCTTCCCACTCTCTCTCACTCTCTCTCTCTCACTCTCTCTCTCGATATCTTTCACGTTCTCTCCTTCTCTTCGTCTCTCTTCCCATCTCCTATTTTTTTTCTCCGCCTTTCTCTCTCCATCTTCCTGTCTCTTCTCCTACTATCCCTCTATATCCGACTCTTTCGCTTTCTCCCCATTTCCCCCATTCTTTGACACCCTTAATCAACCCCTGGCATCTCTCGCTATCTATCTATCTCTCTCCCTCCCTCTCTTTCCCAATGTCTTTCTCTTCTTCTGTCTATCCCCTTCTCTCTCAATTTTTCTCCTTTTCTTTGTTTCTCAATCTCTCACTTCACTTTCCTCCATCTTGCTCTCTCAGTATCTCTTGGCTTTTCTGTCTCTCTCTCCTTTCCTCTCATTCAATCTCTCTTCCCCTTTTTCTCTCTCTATTTCTCTCTCTCTCTTTCTCTCTCTCTCTCTCTCTCAGTCGGCATAAATAATAAACACGTGTCTCTTTCCATTGTTTCCATTGGTCAACTTGTATTTCCGCAGCCTTTTTCTCAGCTCGACCCGAACCCCTACAAGCTGACTTCCGACATCTCGGCGCGACACAAGTTTCACTTCCGGAAACATCGGCTACCTCCCGTGGATATCATGATCATCATCAACATGATCATCATCAGGATTGTCATCATCAGTCCCATGAACGGGTGTGGTCGTAGGGTCATTCCCACACCACATATCTAAGTTGAAAACCGCAGAGGTATTCTGTCATGCGTAGAGTGTCTTGAGCGAGTAGCCCACATCAGGGCCCTCCCCTCTCCAAGTCAAACCTCCATGGTCACGGATCATTGATGCCATCGAGATAACCTTTTACCATAGACGTTGACTTCAGTCTAGGAATCCTTCCGCCCAGTGACGCCATTCACTGGCTTGCATACATAATTATTAAGCCTTGTCTACCCTTTTGCGCTATTTAGGTAAAAAGCGATAAAGTTTTGTGGAAACCATTCTGTATTAAGTTAATTTCGCTCTTCTTTTTCTTCTTCTTCTTCTTCTTCTTCTTCTTCTTCTTCTTATTATTATTATTATTATTATTATTATTTCTTTTGATTTTTTGTGTGTACACCTTCTTCCCGGGCCCCGCCCAGAGACCTATGGTTAGAAATGGTGTCATGACATTTTCCACTGACCAATTAAAAGACACACACACACACATATTTTACATAGATAAAGCCCTTTGTAAGGCGTGGGCTGTACTCGTGAGAACAATTTTTTTTTTATTTCTTTAAGGCGTCCAGGAATTCCTTCAATGAGTCTACTGGAATCTTTTCCAACCAATCCGAAGGGCCCCAACTACAATAGGGACTGTTAATGTTCCCATTGTTATTATTATTATTATTATTTTATTTCCTTTAATTTCTAGTGGATATACATTTCTTTGCGGCTCCCCCCCCCCAGACACCTAAGGCTAATGGCATCATGACATTTTCTACTGAAAAAAAAACTTATTTTACATAGATACAGCCCTTCGTAAGGTGTGGGCTGTACTCGTGAGAACAATTTATTATTATTATTATTATTATTATTATTATTATTATTGAATATATGATGAAACCGTTCAGAAAGAGAAAGTCCTTCTGGTCCGAAATGGGCTAGTAAAAAATATATATATATATATATATATAATACCAAATGCACTACACAAAGTTTTATATGCTATGACAATCATCAGGCGGATGTTTGCCATTGCATGAAACTCCGAGTAGAGCGGGTTTGGCATTATTATGAATATTATTATTATTATTATTATTATTATTATTATGACAAAACGATTTTACTCGCTAAGAGAAATGCTAGATCTAGAGAACAACTGAATGAGGTTTTTCGAGATAGATAATGGTGGAATTCTGACTTGAACAGTTTAAATTGGGAGAGCAACCCCTTGGAAGTCTGTTCTACGAATTAACGGTTCTTGTATATAATCTGTCCGAATGAAACTTCCCCCTTGCTAATGGTATACGAAGGAAATGAGGATGATTCGACTCTGTGTACGTGGCGTGACGGATCTTAGCTCATCAGAAATATTTTCATGGAACGAATCATAGAGAAGGGCTAAGAATGCGACGTTTTGTATATGGGAAAGAGACTGTAGTGCTGTAAATGATTCATCAGCCACGGGGTCGTGGAAATGCTATTAAAATCTGTCACGGTCAAAAAAGGGAGATTTAACTGTTCCAGCCCAGATGCAGCAGCAATATTCATCTGGTCTGCTGTTTGGATGGATTAAGTATGGCAGAAGCATTCTGATATTGGGGGCGGGGGGGGCGATATCAGGAAACGGACATTTTCCCATCATTTGGTTTTGAGTGGACTTGAAAGAGAAAATTAATTTATAAAGCAGACGATGTATTGAAAGTGAACTAACTTCTGAATCCTCATCGGTAAAATACATCCAGGATCATACAACAAATCTCATTTCTTAACAAAACCTACTCCTTGTTAAATTGTAGAATATTGAAAAACAATAGCAATAAGATATAAATGAAATCTATAAAAAAGTTGAATGCGGTCGACCAGATGACAGATACCGACACCAGAAAAACAAATTTAAACTACACATGCCTGCACGTTCAGCGTTTCTCGATGTAAAATGCGCTTTTTTGGATTTCTCCTCTGGCCCTTAGATGCACAGAGACACATACATATATATATAGGTTTGAACAAGGCAGATTTGAACATCGGGATCAACTGCGTACAAATATTAGCCTTACCTGACACTGGGGTTTTGTCGTACGCAGTAAAGCAGGCCTTGTCTTCTACTTGCGGAAACATGTGGCAATTGATTGACAACCAAAAATGGCTGCTCAAGCACGTTCCATCAGTCAAAAAGTTTGGCCTTGGGAGACACATGTGGGTCCATAAAAGTTGGGCAACTTTTCATCTTATTGAGCCCTCATTTGTTGACCGCGACGAGGGAGGCCACCACACACACACACACATATATATATATATACATATATAATATATATATATACATATATATAATATATATATATATATACATATATATATTAAGAAACGGACAAAGTCCGACAATTTATTTATTAAAGACATTTTTATGTTTAACGTTCTTTTTATAGATACAAGTATTTAAGTAAATGCTCTGTTTATAATAAACAGTATTAAATAACATTTACCGGCCTGAATGTCCGAGAAATTTTCATAGAAAATATTCGTCCTTTGACAGGATTCGAACCTGCATCCTATACGGAACCGTCATTTACGCTGACGTGCCTTGACCACTCGAACAAAGGATCGTTCGGTTGGCAAGGTTGAATTTACTGCTTATAAATATATATATATATATATGTGTGTGTGTGTGTGTGTGTGTGTGTGTGTGTGTGTGTGTGTATATAAATATAAATAAATATATATATATATATAATTATTTATATATTATATGCGCGGTACTTATTAGAAAGCGCTCAATATCAGAGATAGAGCTAACATATTTGGTTGGATGGATGTGAGTTTGTGACCCTGGGTTTTACGCTTTTGCGATCGTCAGCGTGAAAACCCAGGGTCACAAACTCACATCAATCAACCATATATATATATAT